GCTGACCTCCGCCAGCCACTGCCGGCCGCCGGCGACCTCCGCCGCCGCCGGCTGCCGCCCTCCGCTGCCGCCGTCGCCGGACTCCGGCAACCACCGCCGGCCGCCGCCGACCTCCGCCGCCACTGCCGCCGACCACCGCCGACCACCGCCGCCTCGCCGCCGCTGACCGGTGGTTGACCGGTCATGCAATTTTATTTTTTATTAATTTTTTAATTTTTAAAATTAAAAAAAAGGTGAGTTTTGATGTTCAAAGTGGTGAGCTTTGCTTTATTCCCATGTGAGCTTTACATTGGCCATGGGTGAGCTTTGCAGTGTAATGTGGTGAGCTTTGCGTCATCTCACCGAAGCATGTCATCTTACCGTAATGTGTCATCTCACTGGAGTCAATCCATATATATATATATATATATATATATATATATATATATATATATAGAATTTGGATGTGAAAGAAATAGGAATATATCTCCACCCTTAGATCTGATCGCACATCTAATTATTTGCACAAAGTCTTCAAGGGCTTTTTGGGGCTCATTATATTCTCTCTCTTATGCTTCCAGAAATTTCTCCCCGATCCGAATTGTCCTCATTCTCTTTCATCAAAATCTTTTCTTCCTCATACCTCTACCTCTCCTATCACAATGATATTCACTTTCACTCCATTAAAATAAAAATACAGATCAGAAAGACAAATTGAAATACATCTAACAGAGCCGCAGAGCTACTTTTAGGCGATTCTCTGGGTCAATCTGTTCAAAGAGGGGATGAAGATGATTCTGGACTGTAGCAGCTAAGGATTTGGTTTTGGGCGATGCTCTAGGCCTGTTGGAACGAAGAAGAAGAAAACAATCAAGGTGGACTTGTTCTTTAGCTTTTTAATCTTATTTTTGTTAATTAGAATTTTTAAATTGTTAATTCTTAATTCATGAATACGTACTTGCTGATGATACTTAGGAAATGCATTGGTTCCCAACCTTAATTAATTTCCAACATGTGTTTCTTCCCCACATGATAATTATCTTTCTAATGCATTTGTGTTCTGCTATTCTACATAACCTTATCATGATATACAAGATCTATGTTTACCTGATTCATCTTTTATATTTCTGCACATAAACTGTTTGTGAAAACGCCCCATATAAAACCCATGTGAAATTTGAGACTGAGAGTAGTTGTTGAAAGAAAGTTTATTTTATGTTTAAATGCATTACATACACTCTTGATATGCATCTTGGAGTATGCAAGATGCAGTGTAACATGCTTAAATGATGTGCGTGCAAACGATAAACATGCAACATACTAAGTGTATTTATGCAATATACAAATTGATGGCTACTCCATAAACTTCATTTTGATTTTTTAACTATGATTTAGCATAAACTAACCCAAAGTTTTGATCTCTAAGTGTTTTAATAGTGTTATTTGAAATTCTAAAGCGTGTTTATGCATTATTATGACCTTTGAGGCTTTGTTTATGACTTATGTTATTGTGCATTATTAGAATCAGGAAAACGCATACACATGAGTTGTCTATTGTTATCAACTCGAATTTGATTTTCCTATAAAGTTATGTTCTTGAAATTAAAGGTAGACAGAGGAATCTAAATGCGTAGAATAATGTAAATGTAAAAAGATTAAAATAAGCATTTAATAGGTCCAAATGCAATATGAGAATCTCTTTAAAAATATTTGCCTATTAGCTCAAATGGTAGAGCGGTATGTACTACAATGTGGGTTCGAATCCCGCATAGGCAAACTAATTATTTTTTTATTTGTTTTACGCATGCTCTGAAGTTTTTTCTTATATGCATTTCAAAGTACGACTTATTTGCTTATATTATGAATATGTATATTTTTCGATAATTTGGATATGCCTTATAGTTATTTGCACGTGTAGAGTGGAGCGTCACATATGTAGGAGTAAGACGTACAATAGGGTCTTCAAGTTTTGAGTTTGTTGTCATAAGAGCTCAATCAACAAATTGAGAAGTTGTTTATGTTATTGTGCATTCTTAGAATACCATTAATGCATTCTAAGATCAAGGTAATGCATTTCATTATTAGTATTTATTTCTATATTGAATTTCTTACCATACAAGCATATGTAATTGAAATCTTTTGATATCTCTGGTATCCCTCAAGAAGCTAGAGCTAGGATTCATCTTATTGGCTGCTTATGGTTTTGAAATTTAGAAAGTTTTGAATGGCTTAAAAACTTTAGGATCCAAGTCATCATGAAATAGACACACTATTCCTGATTTTTACAAATTTGTGAGTTTGGCTATTGAGTTAGAATTGGTCCTTGGCTAAATATGATACGATACTCTATTTTTTGATCTTTTTCTTCTTTTCTATATGTTTTTTTCTATGGGCTTGGGTCTGTTTAAATTTGAAAAATATATATAATGTGTAAAAAATAAAACTTTTAGAATTACAAATGAAAAGGTCACAAAATCATTAAAATTCATTAAAAGAATAAGTTTTTGAGTTTTGTTTCCTTTTTCTTTGTGACTATAGCATTTTTATTTAAGAAAGTACTTGTATTATAATACTCGTAATATTTACGTTATGTGTTTTTCCTTGTGCATATCGTAGTTTGTATGGTGTAAACTCTTTAGTGCATTATAAATACTTTTTAGTGCATTATAGGTAATTTATAATTCATGTTGTATACATTGATTTGTAAAGATGCAACTTGGAAGTTGAGTACATCAAATTTAAATTCTGATTAGAATTCTTGAGTTCTTTTAATATTGTTCAAAATTAATGTCAATGCCAGTGCATCGTGTAAAAACAGAAGTACAACATGCAACACTCCAGATGCACTTCATTTCGTCATACAAACATGTCATAAAAATATATAAGTATGCATTATACGCAATAGAGTTATGTTCTAAAAATAAATCAACTCCCTCCGTTTCGAACTAGATTACAATATTCTTTTCTCTTCTCTCGATAATTTTTGTTTATTTGTGTGTTTTATTGAGTATTTAATAAAATAAAATGTTCTAATCATCTCTTGTTTTGTAAAATTGTTAACGTAAATTTTTAATGGGAAAAGGACCAAACTAGGAGTAAAACATATACCATATCCCTAAAATAAGAGTTAAAACTTAAAATCCCCTAAATAGGAGTAATAACTAAAGTAATTTATATTAAAAAGAAATAAAATACTCACATGCTGTGTTGCCTACCGATGCAATTAAGACTCTAATCTTTGGACCAAAACATGATAATTGTAAAACTAAAAAAATTGTCAATGCCAGCACCCCCTCAGTGACGCTACTACAGAACAAAAGAATAAAAATGAATTGGAAACTCACTGCTGTTGATGGAAGCTTACCGCCAATGCTAGCACCCCCTGCCGTCGTCACCATGACCTCTTGCGGCCATCAACGTGGCCCACTACCATCGCGTCTCTGTTGCATGCTACAGTCACTTCTCTCTCCTCCGATAGCCTACTCCGACTCCACTGCGATGATGTGTGTGCCCTGCCAAAAATCCACCATTGTTGGCGTTGATTTTTTACCATCATCGACGACTACAATGCTCTCAATGCATAATGCCACATATTCCTGTATATAATGCCATAGATTTACATATACAATGCCATAGTTTCTCATGTAGTTATATACAATGCCAT